TAAGAAGTGAATAAAGATTATGTAGTAGTGTATAAAATGAATTGTAAAAGTAAAATCAAGATAATAATGTAAAAAAATGTAGAAGATGAAGATAATAATAGAATGAAATAAATTGATAATTTGATATTGTTGAATGTTGGTAATTTGTAAATTGTAAAGAGTAGAGTAGAGAATGAGATGATAGGTGAGAAAAAATGTTAATTAAGGAGTGAGTATTTATAGAGAAAAAAATGAAAAATAAATAAATAAATAAAAATTTTGAGTAACCAAAACGGTCACTGAAAAAAATAAATTTAGTGACCAAAACGGTCACTAAAATTCAGTGACCGTTTCTGGTCACTGAATTTTCTTTTGTTTTTTAATACAACGAGCCCACGAGCCACTCGACTCGTGGGCTAGTCTAAGGCTCGTCTTAGACGAGCCCACGAGCTGAGCGACTCGTGGGCTCGTAGACGAGTGGCTCGTCTACTATATGAGCTGGCTCGGCTCGGTTCGTCTAGCGAGCTAGCCTGCTCGGCTCGGGCTCGTCTTTTGACAAGCAGAAGAGTCTCGTGGGCTGCTACAGTACAAGTCGAGGGAGCGAGCCGACGAGCCGCTCGGCTCAATTGCCACCACTAAAGCGTGGATTTAGGTGGGATTAATCAAAGCAACATGTTAGCTTTTGTGAAAAGTGACCGAGGCATGGATGCAAGTCAGTCGAATTGATTGATGGATTGATGTGAACATCTATTTGACAGCATTGCGATCTTGTTGTCCAACTGGTTTCAATACTCGATTTAGTGTGAATATGAGGCATATGGGAGGCGCGTGATAGGGACAATTTTGGGCAGTTTTTGGCATGGGAGGGCTGAAAATATGGGCAAACTAACCCAATAGTTGGAGGTGTTAACTACAATCTGAATTTGGCTTATTTATTCTAAGTGTTGGTGACTTAAAAGTAGGTAAAATAGAGAATGTTGTGTTGAGGCAACAAATGTGTGTGTGGTCCTTCACGGCTTTGTACTTAGCATGTTTCTTTATTTTATAGAAATAAAGTTGAGAAGGTTTCGTAATCCTACATTCTATTTTGCTTTCTTTTGGCTTTCTACACACTTAGTCTAAATTCTATCCGTTTTCAATATTCGAAAGTGTTAATTCGCATTACTAACCGAGGATAAAAAAAAACTTGGTGCATTGCTTTTTGTTTGAGATGGCCATGCGTCCAAATTCTGTCTGTTTTCAATATTCGGAAGTGTAAATTCTTGTGTTGCTAACTGAGGATGGAAAAACTCGGTGCATCGCATGGTGTTCGAGATGGCCATGTGACATTAAGCAACAGGTTTATGCTTGAGCAATTAATCGAAGAGCACAAAAACAAGTTAACTAGCGAAAGTTAGCATTTCATACTCATAATTGCTCCCTTCCTAGTGAAATGTGTGCCCCATTTGAATATGGCAAAAAAAAAAAAGGATGAGGAAATTAAACCCATTACAACAATTTAGATAAACATTCATCTTTTACTTTTCGAGTTTTTAAAATCGAATAATACTACAATTTATGAAGTAAAAATGATAATAATCACTCCTCTCATTAGTTAAATTAAACACTATCATCACTCCAGCAAACATGACATATCAACCCCCACCTGACCACACCACCCCAAATCACGCCCAAAATCTCCAATCTACACATTCTCCATTATAGTAAAGATTAAGAAAAACTCAAGAATCGATCTCAAGAAATCATCTTTCATTTGCAGATCGCCTTCATTAGATCTCAGTATGTGATTTTCTCCATATATTGTGTCCGACAATCTATTCTCCAAACTGCAATTTCGACATTTTTGGGATTCATTCGTCATTAGATAAACCCGAATACACCTTGAGATTCACCATCCCAACTCAAATATCTTCTACATCCAGCCTTTTTACATCATACGGTTAATTTTTTGAAACATGCTATCATCAATATGTTGAAACATTCTTGGTCCTTCTTGCTATTTTGACTTGCTTATCACGTTGGTGAATTACTCCTTTCCATTCGACAATATTACTGCATCTGATCCAGTTATTTTTATATTGTTTTTGTGCTAGTGTTTCAAGCGGGTAGTCGCTAACAATTAAAAAAGAAATTCAGACGATTGTATAAGGGACAAACCCGTTGAAACAAAATCCCAAAAAGGGATACTTTATTGATGAGAGTTACAACTAGAAATAAACAAAATGCCTCTAAGGGGCATAAGCACACGAGTACTAAAAAAGGATAAGTAAAGTTAATCTAAGGAATTGAAATTATATATTCTCTGTTTGAGAGTGTTTGATTCAGGATCTTTTTCTCTATGTCTATTCTTTTCTTTTATATTCCTATGATGATTTTTTCGTGACAAATCGCTTGAAAACTTGATAAGTACGTTTTACATACTTATTTTACTGTTAAAACATGAGCAATTGTTGATTAATATGTTGGAATATAGTTTAATTTTATNACATACTTATTTTACTGTCAAAATATGAGCAATTTTTTATTAATATGTTGGAATATAACTTAATTCTATGCAATTAATGTTTTGCAGGACAAGTGATGAATGTGGCGAAAATAATGAGAAATAAGTGAAAAATAATCAGAATGGAAGAAAGTGAAAGTGAAAGTTCAAGGACTAAAGTGTAAATACTCAAAAATTATGTCGGGACTCACGATAAAGGTTCGAGAGTGCTAAGGGTCGATTGGAAGCAATTAGAAGTCAAAAAGGAATGTAATATTATCAAAATCAATTTCCCATTAGCATAAGATATATTCCAGATTTTTAGTTGAAGATTGAGACCCATTTTTGGTATAGTAAAAGTCTGAATTAGAAAATATGTATTTCTAACAAGGTTGTAGCTCTTTGAGTTACCTTTCTAATGCATCTTGAATCATCTAAATCGAATATCAGAAGAGAAAGTTATATCTAAATTACTGACTGTTATGTAGAGACAAAAAATCCGCGCGTGAAAGGAACTTTCCTTATTCGATTAGAACTCTTTTGGAAACCAATTTGGACGTGATTTTCATCTAATTTCTGACCCTTAGAAATACTCAACAGCATAATACATATGAAGAAGGCCTCCATACACCATTCTTCTCCTCTTTGACTCAAAAAACTCATGAAGAACTAAAACCATTGGTGAAGCTACGAAGGAACTCGATTGGAATTGGTGATTTCATGTCTTTTATTCATTTAATTTTATATTTTCATTGTCAAACAATACTAGAATTTAGATTTTCATTCTCTTGAATTTATATTGAAATCGGTT